GCTGAACCAAACTGACAGCAGTTTGCCTATAGCAGACAAGCTGCAAATAGAAAAAGGTACTTCTGCAAAGAAAGGAAAATACTAAAACCGTTTTGGAACATGTCATATAAAGTAATGCTGGAACCTATGCTGAGCACCTTAGCCTTCTGCTGAAGTGATGGGATAAGAAAGCATGGAACACAAACTGTGTTTTTTGTACAGTAAATATTATGCAAACGTATACAAGTCTATCTCAGCAAGTTTTGTTCCTGTTCCTCTGCTTAATTTATTTACGAATAGTCACTGCTCTTTTGTTGTCAGGGAACATGAAAAGCTGAGGTTAAAAAAAAAAAAACGTCACATTTCTCTTTCTGTTCATTTGTTTGTTAATCAAAAACATGGTGAATTTATGTTAGTGCTGCTCCCTTTTCAGTGAAGCACTTGACAGAGGTCTGCGAAGCTTGTGATCCAACACCCACAAGGGCAAGTGCCCTCCTGCCTTCTCTACTAATCTACTCTTGCTTTTTACCCCTGCCTTTTTTGCCATGGTTTAGGAAAGAATGTAAATAAGAAAATTCATAAATACTTAATAGCACAAGTATCTAAAAATCGTATTTATTACACACAACACACACCATCTGTTTGTGAATATTAACTAAATAAATTAAGTTATTGTTTTCTTGTGAAATGAAAGCCGCCTTTTGTCACTGAACATGATATACCTACGATACATACCTTTTTATCTAAATTGTGAAGCTTAGCTGCCTCTACAGATGTCCTGTAGTATTTACGGTAGAAGTAGCAGTAATAGTAATGATAATAAACAACCAATAATCCTGCTGGACAGAAGAGGGGCATCTAAGCTGCTTCTGAGTAGACATCCACCTCCAAACCTTCCCAACCAGCTATCTACCTTCCCACCACACCTCCAAAAGCCGAAACTCCAGCAAGCTATTGATGAATTTGTTATTCAGGTCACTTCTCATATTCAGTCGGTCGTAAGTGTTGAAGCAGATTATGTAAAAAATAAAAAATTGCAATTGCTCTTCCTCCTCTCTTCCTTCCCTCTTGCATAAATTTAGTAAGAATGAGAGAGAAAAGCCGTCGGCAGCGAAGTCACCACAAATTCCCCCGTGGCTCCGTCACTCCTGAGCTCAGGAGCAACTGGCGCTGCCCCAGCCAGCCAAGGATTTCTCAGTGATTTCAGTGAAAGTCGCGTAACCTCCATGTCTCATTTCCAGTGATGGAACTGATAATAATTGCCAACCCCTCTCGAGGAGTTCACGACAATACATTTATCCTCCTTTGTAAGGAGTTCTCACATCAGATGGAAGGCACTACGGACACACGAAGCATGACTATTTATTTTTAATAAGACATGGCACAAACAACCGATGGCAGCTTCGTTAATATGTATTTCATCACTGCGAGTGATACTCTGCTTCGGAGGGAACAAATTGTGTATACTGATCCGCTCATACAGAAATGTTAAGTCAGAGAGATTAGCTTTCTGTATTCAGTTGCCACTTTATAAACCGAAAATTACTAAAAGAGAAAACACAGCCAAAAAGCCAAATTGTGCACTTTTATGGTTCACCAAAAAAATCCCCAGCGAACATGAGACAAGGTATATTTTATATGCAACAGCTCATTAATTTTAAGTGTCGTGGGAACCCTGCCAGTTTTACCCTCTGAGTAATTATCTTTTGTCTTAATTTGTAAGATTCTTGAAAGGGGGAAGAGAGAAATGGGAGAGAAAAAATGTTCAGTCTCACAGGAAAAGCTTAAAAAGCTTAAAGCCTGAAAACACAATAAAAAGGGAGAGACGTAGATGCAAAACAGTCCTAGTCAAGCTGTCTCTAGTTAAACAGTAGATGGTATCAGTTTCTATAAAAATCAGTGTTTTGTTTCTTCCAACACCTAGAATATTGTTATATTCAGCTAGATAGGTATAAAAGCCTTCCTGCTAGAATAAGTTCTGCAAAATACACAAACATATTATGTGAACAAGTATCAAAACGTTAACTTGATTAATTACAAAACACTACCACAAGCCAAGCATTTAAGGGGAAAAAGAAAAATCCCCTGGACTATGATTTTGCTCTCATCTGAGTAAAAATGTAGAAGCCAGTTATTTAGACTTAGAGAGTACAATACAGGATTAAACTCTGGCCCTAATAGCTAGTAAGACAGTTCAGTGAAAAGATGAAATTGCCAGGAAAGACTAAAAAGCCTCCCCAAGAAATCTCATTGTTAAAGAATAACTGATAATAAGACAGAAACACCCACTTCCCAAAGGAAAGAAAAACAATAACCCCCCCAAACCCAAACCTCTGCATTAAATATTACTGAGACCAAATCTGATTTAACAATAAAACTATTACTAATTCTTTTGTGTCTTCTTATGCAGCAAATTGCATTCTCCTTCATGTCTGCCAGCTCTTCAGTATTTCTGAGGCATTCAGAAAAGCAGAAAAGTGTACCTTATGCTTTATTAAGCCCAGATATAGGTATGTCCCAGCTACAATCTCCCATCCTAGAGATAACTCTGATACATGCAATATCCAATGTTCTGCTCCCAGTTATTTTTTTTTACTTGTGAAGTAGTCAATAAAGGTTTCATCCTTGAAGCAATAATTTCATTAAAAAAGAGAAAGACGGAAGAAAAAGCCCAACCAACACGAGTGGTGAAATTCACATTATTAAAGCAGAAATCTTTTGTAGTCTTGAATTATGATTATTTTATGTTACCTTAACCAGCTCTATATTTCCAGAATAGCTTTTAGTTAAAGGTAAGAGCACTACTAACAAATAATTAAAAGTGCAAGTAAATTATTAGTGTTCAGACACTTCAAATAGAATAAATGGATATCCTTTTATCCATATCTATCCAAATGCTCATTCTCAAAATGCTGTGTCCTCCAAAGCAATTATTATTATTATTAAGCTGAAACAATAAGAGTCCCAGAGTGAAATACTTGTGGGTGTCTTGGTTAGCAGTGATGATCAAACACAAAGAAACTGAACCACTACATTCAAAACTCGCAAGCACTGCGGGTTTTTAAACCACTGATATAATTTAAGGCAGCAGAGCAAAACCTTATGGCAGGCGTGATCCCTACAGATGCATCACAGCGCGCTCTGCATCGGGGGAACTGGACCCTCGGCACCAATATTCACCCAGGATCCCATACAGGGACTTTGGGGTATCTCATTTGAAACTGTGATAAAGAATCCCCATGCAAACCAATACAAACTGTGCAAATTGTGTGTGTACTAGGTGCAGCTATAATAATGGCTAAAAAAATTTTTGATCAAGTAAAGCCACAGATGTGCTCAATTACTACAGATGAACTAAGCATTTACTACAGGAATTGACACTGTAGTGAGCTATAAACATTTATTGTGTTTTCAGCAATTTTCTGAAGTATTCCTACAAATTAATTTGCATGCAAATATTTTATAGGATACATCCAACCAGCCATTCAGAAGCCAATTTATAATACGTTCAATAATCAGGCTTTCACTGTGTAAGCAGCAGAATTACTGGATTGGGTTCAGCCAGCTGCTGACTCCATGGGCAAAGCTTTCTCTCCCAAGCCCTCCTGGAGATTATTCCTGCACCAGATATGCTTTATACTTGAGATAATGGGGGAGTCCGTTGCAGGGACAGCAGAGTACTGATGTATGAACCCTTTTGCTTTATGCCAGTGTCTGGAAGATAAAGGCATGGACCATACATGTACACATATGCCATGTGTTGCAGAGCTCCTGCTGCGTAAAGCAAGTGATCGTGCATTCATAAAACTATCCAAAACAAAGAGGGAAGATAAGAGTGAAAGGGAGAAGTTTTGTTTTTAGAAGGAGAAAAGGGAGCCTTGCCAACATTGTGAACCCGAGCCAGCTATTCCAATGCAAACCTCATGTTGTTACATAGATCATGTTTGGGACGAGATGTAATATTAATCAACTTTCTGGCATTAAGTATCCGTTACTGTACAAAAACATTCTTGCTCTGGCTTTAATTCAGTTTTAAGTCACTGTGAAAACATTTATGTGGCTCTCAAACTGCCTTAAAGGACTCAGGCAATAATTCTTTTCCCCTCCCGGAGGAACTAAAACAATGATCTACTTCCACAAAACAGAGTATTTTAATACAGCCGATTGTTTTCCTTAAGTGTTGGGTATGTTCAGACTTCTATAAACCATTTCCAGAGACAGAAGCTGTCTTCTGGAGCCCCCCAACATGATCTACCTACTCAGGGTCAGCGGCAAAGGTGTACTTCAGGAGAAAAGGACATCAAAACATCGTACGAAAATGTGTGGTACTGCTGTTTCTGAACTTCTCCAGCCCTAATCCAACGCTATGCAATTTGTCAGGGGACAACTCCGCAACAAAATTTCCATAGCTGCATGCTAACAGAAGTCAAACAGGAGAACTGTAGCAGGTAACACTGAATTTCTTTTTGACGCTATCAATAACACAGCTCAAAACCCTACGCGCACAGGGCCAT